CAACAGGCCCTGCTAAAAAGTTTGCCGCCATCTTTTTTATAAGCCCTCTTTAAGTACTGATAGGCTGCAATAAGGTCTCTCCCGAACATAAGTCCCAAGACATGACCGTACGATGAGCTTCATCATTACATGTCTTCAGAGTAGCTTGTATTGGGGCTATGTTTTGCATCTGTGCTGGAAACAGCCTCGATAACCCAGGATGTGTTAGTTATTGCTGAGCAGTGCTTGCACAGTGCCAAGGGCTTTTCTGCTCCTCAGACTGCCCCGCCAGCGAGCAGGCTGGGGGTGCACAAGACGCTGGGAGGGGACACAGCGGGGACATCTCACCCCAACTGACCAAAGGGATATGGTCGCATACGGTCGCACCATGCGACGCCATGCTCAGCAATAAAACTGGGTGGTGGAGGTTGGCGGGGGCTGCCCTTGCTCAGGGACTGCCTGGGCATCCATCGGTTGGTGGTCAGCAATTGCTTTCTTCTGCATCACTTGTTTTGCTTGGGCTTTATTTTCCTCTCTCTTTCTTGTTTGTTGGGGTTTTTCCCTTACGATTTTGTTTTTAATTATAAAACCGCCTTTACCCGCACCCACGAGTTTTCTCCCTTTTACCTTTCCGATTCTCCCCCTGCATCCCACTGCAGAGGAGTGAGCGAGCAGCTGTGTGGTGCTGAGCTGCTGGCCAGGGTTAAACCACAACAGCCTGTGAGCAAAACAGTCACCTACTGATGGTGAGCGTTAATGCCTCGTGCAGTCACACATACAGTCATAGAATAATTTAGGTTGCAATAATCTGTGGAGATCTCTGGTCCAACCCTGTGCTCGAAATAGCCAGATTATTGTGTGAAGATCTGATGCTGAAGTTAAAACATACTGCTTCAGGTTCAGTCTTCTCTGCATCTTACATTTAGGTAGCTCTAGGCAGTGGTAAGATCCCCTTCTGCTGCCTTCTCCCCGTGCTGAACAAACACAGCTCTCTCAACCTCCCCTCATCCAGCCCCTGACTGTCTTGGTGGCCTATGGACGACATTTTCTCTAGTCTGTTAATCATAGAATCATTAAGGTTGGAAAAGGCCTCTAAGATCATCGAGTCCAACCATCAACCCAACACCACCATGCCCACTAAACCATGTCCCTAAGTGCCTCATCTACACGTCTTTTAAATACTTCCAGGGATGGTGAATCAACCACTTCCCTGGGCAGCCTGTTCCAATGTTTAACCACTCAATGTCTTTCTTGTACTTGGGAGCCCAAACTGTTCCCAGTATCCAACTGTGTCACCAGTGCCAAATAGCTGTGACAAATCCCTTCCCTTGCCTGCTGGCTGCACTCTTGCTAATACAAGAATATTTGAGTTTAAACTTTCCATGCTTGTATTTCTACAAAACATAAACCCTATCATGTTTCTGAAAGAGGTTTTCTCTCAGCCTTGTTTCTCTCAAGTTCCTTGAGAGTCTGTTCTTCAGAGGTGGTCTTCCATTCTGCCTCCAGGGATTCTTTGCTGGGAATCATGCCATAGGCTCCGTACCTGGATTAACTCCAGCGTGTGCAAAGGTTCCTCTAAGATTTGTTGGTCAGTGTCATGCGGTACTTGGCAACTTCTTGTTTGTACCTGGCTAGTTTTCTTCTCAGACCTTCATTGGACACTTGTTCCCTCTCCTTTTAGGCTTCCTGAGAGCAGCTCTTTCTCTTATGGTTCCAGTAGGAATCCTAGATCTGCTTCAGCAGTTGCATCTCTGTGTCCTCCTCACCAAGAAAACAGGATAGAGCAAAACTCCAGACATCAGACGTTGTGAAATTTAGCCTCTGTGAAGGCTGTGATTTGGTGCTGTCTGCTGACTCAAGTACCCATTTATCTCTCTGTGTACTGGTGTCTGGGCAGAAATGATCACATTCCTTATCAACAGGACGACAACAGACACAGATGTTGACTCTCTTTGAGAAGAATGAAGTGGTTTTGCTGAGTCTTTGCCTCCACCAGGCATTTTGCCATGACACAGGCTGACGTCCTTGCAGCCAGTCAGCGCACACTCTCTGGTTTAGGTTGCCTGAGAGAGAGAATAAACGAGAGGGAGAAATGAATGAGAGCCCTGTCTGAGCCCTTCACTGCTCAGGACTTGCACCTTTTCTCTCTAGTGCTTGTTGTGACCTGTATTGTCCTTTCTCTGCCTGGTGGCTTTAGAGCAGCTCTCCAGGTATGCAAAAAATCTCTGCAGGAGGGCTGTGAAAACTACAGGATTTCTTCTGAACTTCTTCTAGCTTTGTGTATGTTTGCACAGTCCTTACACTATAATAACTGAGCAGAGAAAACTAAGCTACTATGTGCAGTATAGTTGCATCCCTGGGTCCCTACCTGAACAGTCCCTTATTGATAACCAATTTGCCTTGTCCTCTGCAGTAATGTCTAGAGGCTGTGGGCAAAGCGAGTCTCCTTCCTCTTTGCACATCATGTAACTAAGCAAAAGTCTGCTAAGGAATTTAAAATCAGAAAAAGTTAAAAAGAGCACCTGATAGCTTTCTATGGTGAGATGATTGGCTTGGTGGATGAGGGGGGATGTTGTTTTTCTCAGCTTTAGTAAGGCTTTCTACACCATCATCCACAACATCCTCATAGAAAAAAACTGATGAAGTACAAGCTGGATGAGTGGACAGTGAGATGGCCTGCTGAGCTCAAAGGGTTATGATCAATAGCAGAAAGCTCAGCTGGAGGCCAGTCACTAGTGGTGTAGCCCAGAGGTTGATACTAAGGTTAACATTGTTTACCATCTTCATTGATGACCTGGATGATGGGACCAAGTGCACCCTCAGCAAATTTATAGATGATAAACAGCTGGGAGGACTGGTTAATGCTCCAGATGGTTGTGCTGCCATTCAGAGGGACCTCAACAGACTAGAGAACTCAGCAAACAAGAATATCATTAAGTTCAACAAAGGGAAATGCCAAGTCCTGCTTCTGGGGTGGAATAACCCAATGCAACAGTATGTGCTGGGGGCCAACCATCTGGAAAGCAGCCCTGCAGAAAAAAAAATGGGATCATGGTGGACAAGTTGAACAGAAGCCAGCAGTGTGCCCTTGTGGCTAAGAAGGTCCACTAGCATCTTAGGTTGAATTAGGAAGAGCATTGACAGCAGGCTGAGGAAGGTGGTCCTTCCCCTCTACTCAGTGCTGTTGAGACCACATCTGGAGTACTATGTCCATTTCTGGGCTCACTGGTACAAGAAAGACATGGACATACTGGGGAGAATCCAGCAAAAGGCCACAAAGATGATTTAGGTTTTGGAACACCTCTAGGAGAAGCTGGGAGAGCTGGGTTTGTTTAACCTGGAGAAGAGAAGGCTCAGAGGTGGATCTTGTCAACATGTGTAAATACACAAATGGGATTAAGGAGCCAGATTCTTCTTGGTGATATCAAGTGAAAGGATAAGAGGCAGTGGGCACTAATTTAAATACAAGGAATTCCATTTAAACATAAGAAACCTTTTTTTTTTTTTTTTTAAACAGTAAGGGTAATGGGACCTTGGAACAGGTTGGGCAGAGAGGTTTGTAGTCTCTATCCTTGGGTATCCTCAAAACCCAGCTGGATATGGTCCTGAGCAACCCTGCTTTGTGCTGGAGGGGTTGGACTAGTTTTTATCTCCAGAAGTGCCTTCCAGCCTCAGCTATTCTGTGATTATATGAAACAGCCTCCAGATATGACACGAGGGGTGGGAAATTTACATAAAGAGAATGAAAGAGTAAACTGACTTAGTGCTGTTTTGTTGCGAGCAGTTGTTCGGTCAGATGTAGAGCCCAGAGGCACCAGACCCCAGTTGTAAGGCCTAACCATGCAGCTTCTCAGCCTTAAATCTCCTTCCTGGCTTCTTATTACAGTATGAAAAAGCCCTCCTCAGAGGCTATGTTGAGTGTTGCTCCAACCTGACGTGGTGCACCAACCCTCAGGGCTGTGATCAGATCCTCCTTAAGGATGGACTTGGTTATGGGGCAGCCTGTTCCAAGTGCTCCTGGATATCCTGCTTCAACTGCAACTTCCCAGAGGTGAGGCTGAGCTGAATCACGGGCAGTACTATCTTGGGTTTGGCACACACCATTCTGCTTTTGTGTGGTTGACTGGCTCTCTCTTTCAGGCCCATTATCCTGCCAGCTGCAGCCACATGTCTCAGTGGGTGGATGACGATGGGTACTATGAGGGCATGACAAGTGAAGCCCAAAGCAAACATCTGGCTAAGCTCATTTCGAAGCACTGCCCAAGCTGCCAGGCTCAGATAGAGAAAAATGAGGGGTGCCTGCAGTGAGTATCCATTTTTGTTTGCTACTGGAGAAGACAGGAGAGGGCAAAGACATACAGTTAGGTCCATTGCGCTTTTTGGTGGGTTTTTTGGCTGTGGAGTAAGAGTTATAGCAGGTCTGTTTTATAGTTTTAGAGGAATGAATGATTGCTTTTAATTCCTACAAAAAGCAAAATGTTCCCCAGCATTCAGAGTTAAATCCATTGATAGCTCTCTAGTAGAACCACAACTCATTTTGCTGTACCTTTTTATAGCGCACACTTGTCTGTTCTCAGAATCTGCTGTAGGCTTACGGAGGTACAGGTTACAGGAGTGGATATCTCAGCACCATTTTTTCTTTCATGCTCACCTATTCCTGTAACTTTAAGCAATTTGCTTTTAACTGCCTCTTTTGAATTGGCTTGGATCTCTGGCAGCTTTTTACGTGATAGGAGAGTTACCTCCAGTTTTGAAGCCAGGGCTTAGGAGACGCCATTTGTTTCTTTCTTGCGCTGGCACAGCCCTTAGTGCCCAGCTGTGATTTGTCCTCACATGTTGTGTGTGGCCCTAGGGCTGTGCAGTGCCTTTGTGCACTGTGGAGTGCTGCATTACTGAGGGAAGAGGTGAGGTGCTCATGTGGATCTTGCTTCAAACTGTGGAATGCTTAGTTCACCCTTGAAGTACTTGGTAAGTTGGTACTGTGAGATCGTGCTGCCAGTTTACCCAGCTCATTTTTGGAGACACATGAGTGGTTTTAAGCATCATCTGCTTCCAGCAAAGGCTTTAAAAAAATACATGCAGGGAAATGCGTAGTACTGGGTAAATGGGAGTGACTGGGTCACACATTCCAGCCCTGTGATGTAGGGGAGCACTGGGAGGAACTGTGCAAGTGGCTGTTAGGACTGAGTGATTCCCATTGTTCTTCTCCTACCTTGCAGTATGACATGTGCAAAGTGTAATCATGGCTTCTGTTGGCGTTGCCTCAAGCCCTGGAGGCCGACTCATAAGGATTATTACAACTGCTCCGCTATGGTGAGTAGTTTGCTATATCTCAGTGGTTCATGCTTGTGTTCAGATGCACCTGGCCTCTCAGAGAGAGGGTAAGGATCTCCACTTGTGCCCTTTACTCTGGACTTTGTGCACTTGCCAGTAATATTGATAGTATTGTCAAAGTCTGTATGTGTGGTCGCCATTTCCAGGCAACCCTGGTACTTGATGAAATTGCTACAGGTTGCTTCTATCTTTCCTTTCAGGTGAGTAAAGCAGCTTGGCAGGAGAAGCGTTTTCAGGATTACAATGAGAGATGCACCTTTCATCATCATGCAAGGGTAAGGCCTCCTCCTTCCTTTGCAGATGCTGACTCTGTTGCCTTAGCCCTGGTGAGCAGGACAGTTTCTGTTGTGTCTCAATGTATTTCACCTGAAGCTAAGAAGCAGGCTTCGGATCCAGGTGGGGATGCCTGGTCATTTCACCCTTGCTCTGATGTAATGGGTAGTTCTTGGCCTGCTTTCTTCTACCAAGCGGACTGTTGCGGGAACTGAACACCTAACTTGTGTTCATGTGCTCAGACTGATGCAGTACTTGGAAGCAATGGTGACTGAAGGCTGAACTCTGTCTAGCGCTGAGATACTGTAAAAGGTTAAAGTGATGGCACAGTAGAGATGTCATAGTTGGATGCAGTAAATGCTCTCCTGCTGCCTGCATCTTCTGGGATGGCACTTCAGGATGCTTAGCAATTACCTGTGTGGAAGGTGCTATTTTTTCAATCTTGCGGAGCTTAACATTGACTTTTTTTTTTCCTCCTATGGTTATTGCAGGAATTTGCCATGAGTCTGAGGAACAGGGTTTCTTCCATCAGTGAGATGCCAAAAATTAGGACTTTGACTTTTGTTCTTGATGCCTGCAAAGTGCTAGAACAGGCACGGAAGGTAAGGCTGGATAACAGGCTTGCTGAGATTTAGGCCTAATTCTATTGGTGTGGTTTATGCCTTTATTAAAGCGAGGAGACACCAACCTTGCTCTACGCCAAACAAGGGGAGACAGAAAAAGCTTGAGGGGAGGAATAGCATCAGGACAGGGGAAGAGCTCATGTCTGCCTTTCCCTGCTCTCACTCTGAGTTGGGCTCTGTCTGCAGTGTTCCTCACAGTCAGGTCATAGGATTCGGAGCTTAGCTCAAGTTGACGCCACGGAATCGGCACAAGGATCCATATTTAGGGGTTTCATATACTAGGTTTGGTCCATTCCAATTTGAAATGCCCCAGTGGTGGTACTTACCTTTTGAAAGTTCTCCTGATGCTGCATTACAGTTAGGAAGTCCTTCTTGATGCTCATGTTATGACTTTCCTTTCTTAATTTCATTTCATGAGCCGTAGTTTTGGGAGCACTGAGTTACCTACTGCATGCCCTGATAGCCACATTATGAAGGATTTGCAGTGCAGCCACTGGATGTGTGCAGTAAACCTGTGACAGCATAGGCCTGCAATGTCTTCTGTCCCCTGAAACATAGGAAGGAGGTGGGAATTGCCTTTGCAGTATTGCCTTTGCAATGCATACCTTGTTTGTGCAGGCAGACTTGATTTTGAGAGGCGCATGTGGAACAAGGGTGTCTGACCCTGTTTTGTCTTTTTGGTGTGGTAGCCCCTGTGTTTGCCAGGATACATATCACTGTTGCTTGCTGCTGCTGGCTTTTCTGGTCCATTTCTTTAAATGGAAACAGTGGTCTTGTTTCCTGCTGGGTGCCTGGATGGCTTTAGGGGTCATTCATTCATAATGGGAGTTTGTCACCTGTTGAAATGCCTTTGTCATGGGCTCTTGGTGCTGTATAGCACCATGCCTGCTTCCCTTTGGGCTCAGTTCTTGCAGTTCATTGCCACTTGGGTTCAACCTGGGCCTCTGCCTGCTGGTCAGTCACACTTGTTACACATTTACAGTCTGTGTTCTTGTGATGGTTTGCAGGTGGGAACAATCAGTATTTCAGTACAAAGTAATTACACATTCATTTACAGTCCCACCAGTAGCTCTAGGTAGCCTGGCACTGCTGTCACTTGGCATAATGGTTCACTGGGCTATCGCCACAGACCAGAAGCACTGCCAGGCTTTTCTCAGCCACTGATATGTAATGAGGTCTGGAAGGGTTTGATGCTACTCTCTTCTTGCCCACTCTGAAGCTGAAGGAGGATGCTTACAGAATGATCTGTACTGCTCCAGGTGCTGGCCTACTCCTGTGTGTACAGCTACTATAACCAGGACACTGAGAGCATGGATATTGTGGAACAGCAGACTGAGAGCTTAGAGCTGCACACTAATGCTCTGCAGATCCTTCTGGGTAAGTCCTGCAGCCTCTCCAACGTAGAGACTAGCATTCCCAGCTGTCTGGTTCAAAGGGTGGCAGCTCTGTAGTGGGGCAATAGCATATACACCTGCACCCAGCTGGTGTCTCTCACTTCTCCCAGCCCATTTTTGCCTTCTTGATGTCATTTTTGGGAAGTCCACTGACGCAGTTTGGCTGCTGGTGGAGACTGATGCAGTAAGGAGCAACATGTTCCCTTATGAAAAGAGGAATGTATGTGCACGGGAGACCTAAGTAGCTGTGACTGGTTTCATAATCAGAGCCAAGGGACTGGGTCTCTGCTTAAGAGTGTGGGAAGCAGCGTGACTTTGTTGGCCTTGAATTGCAGAGGAAACCCTGCTGCAGTACCAGGACCTGGCCTCTTCTCTTCAGCTCCTGAAAGCAGAGCACTTCAGTGCTGGTTTGGAGTTGGTACACCAGATCAAGGAGCGTCTCTTTGCAATTCTCTGGCACTCCACACAGGTGAAGTCCATATGCCTGTTAGTGGCTTGTCTTGCTCTGGTCTAGTTTGATCTTGGACAAACCTAGAAAGGGGCTTGATCAGCTGAGGGGATAGACTCTCAGTGCTGTGTGTATGTAGGGAAGGGGTTTGCAGCACAAAATACATATACAAATCGCATATTGTCTCTCTCTTCTGGCTGTTTTTCCATGCTAGCAGGATTTCCATGTTGGGCTCCAGACTTTGGCAGACCCTGGTCAGAGAAAGGTGAAACTCTCAAACGTGCTTACTTCAGCGCCTGCCTGTATAGGGTGAGTTTTCTTAGCAGGGTAACAAGGAAAGGTGGGTGAGTGCAGACAAAAAGCAGGTGACCGGTTTTCTCCTGTGCTCGCTGATATACAAAAGAGTTAATAACAGGTATCAATTACTTGCATCCTGTGTTGTGGTTTGAGATAACAATGTAAGTGACATATTGGTGTAGGGAGACCAGAAAAACCTCCGCTTGGTATGCAGTTGTGGTCAAGAAAGCTCCATCACTGGCAGACCCAGTTATGGAAGTTGCTCTCCCTGGACTCTCCTGGGTTTCTGTGGAGAGTCACACTCTTTCTTCAGAGGTGCATCAGAGATCTAGGAGGTGTCTAGATGAGAGAAGCAAGAATAAGAACATACATGGGGGAGATGGAAGGGCCTGACATTTATTTTAAGAAGGGAATGGAGAAGAGGTGACACAGCTGTAAAATAGTGTGTTGAGAGGTGAAATAGACGGTTTGTTGTTTCCCTGTCCTAGAGTACTGAGCTGGCAGGTGTTAAGTATGATTGGAAGGTGATGAGCTCGAAACAAAGTCCATTCCTATATGACACGCTGTTTAAACCAAGAAACACAACTGGCTTCTGCTATCCCAGTGTGACCCGTCGCCTCTGACAGCTGCTGTGTTTCCAGGAGCTGAACAGGCTGCTGAGCATTGCAAGAAAGAATGACCACTGAGTCAAGAGACACTCTCTTTCAGAGCAGGGTTTCTGGCCTCCTTGGAATGAGGCTGAGACACCAGAGCTGGTGGCAGACTGCAGCTTGTTGGGGCCCAGTTACAGATGGCGCTCTGACACAGCCCTGTGCTGCGTGCATGGATAAGGCCATTTAATCACCTTCTCCTAGGTGCACCCGCATGGCTGCTGTGTCCCTGAGGCATGGCTTTAGATGGGGGATGCTGAGGTGATGGTAGTAGGGAGGATGAGGGTGGTGTGGGGCTGGGTTGTGGTTGCTGCTCACAGCCGGGGCTCTGCTCTGATGCTCTCCTCCTCAATAGGCCAAAACATACCATCTTGTGTGACTCCCCCAACACAGACGAAGGTGGCAAAGAGGTTGAAGATGAGGAGTATGAACCACAGTGGCAGGAAGACTATGATGATGATGATGATGATGACGACCTTGATGAAGACAACTTTCTGTTTGATGATGAGTCAGATAACCTTGATTGTGACTCCTACTTTGATGTTGATGATGCCTACGACTAGAAGTGGGCTGTCACCCAGCCTGCCAGCCTGGACCTCTGCCTCTACTCTGTCTCGACCAGTTTGTATTAGTGTCTTTCCTCAATGACAGTGAGGAGCTCTCAGGCAGAATGAAGAGACGTTTCCTCTGGGGGCTACTTGCTCAGTGACTCCCCTTTAATATGCAGAAACATTGCTCTGGACAGATGGGCTGTGTTACTGTGGCCACCTCCCTCAGAAAGACATGTCCTCGCCTTTCTTCCTTGTCTGCATTTCTGCCCATAGGTATCTAGTTGAGTTAGAAAGTCACAGTCTAGCTGCAAAGTGAGGACTACTTGCCACCTAATAAAGGACTGCTCAGTGTCCTTGGGCGTGTTCTCCCCAAGGACTGGGCACAGGTGAGTGGGGCATGTGTCCTAGCATGGCACTGTCTAATCCAACCAGTGTCTAGAAATACTGTAAAGCGATGTGTTTACACTCAAGTCAAAGCCTCCCGTCTGGAGCTGGTGGGATTCCCTCCAGAGCCACAGATGGATGTGGTTCCGTGTGTTCTTCTAGTTGAGGAGGACAGCTTTTTTGCTGTTTGTTGGAGTTGTTGTCTTTGCTGTGAAGCAGGATGGGCTGCTATGAGTGGCACAAGTTTGCAGGACTGTTTTTAAGTGTATAAATGTATGCACGCACACACACACACATATATATGAGATATATATATATATGCAGAGGTTGTTCAGATAATACTTTATCTTTGCAAAAAAGAAAACCCTGAGGAACAAGGGTTGAAAAAAGTTCTGTTTAAAAAAAAAAAGTTTTCTTCTAGCATAAGCCTCCTTGTTGTCTATGGGGAACATGGGTGTGAAGGGACAGCAGGACGTTCTCAAGTGAGGAGTATGTGACCTGGATGTGCTCATCCCAGGAGTTATTTGTGAAATAGGTGTGGGTTTGGGATCCTTGCCCAGGCCACGCAGTCTGCCCTGCAAAGTGACTGTTGCTTCCTGGGCAGTTCAGGGAACAGTAAGAGGTATGGGGAAGGATGGGAAAGAGGGCAGGGGACCAGACCACACAGAATGATGGGGCTGGTGTTTCTGGGAGCAGGTGCAAGACAGAATGCCTGCATGTTGACAAAGGTGGTAACATATGGTGCCCAGCAGGAGGCAGATGTGGGACTGCTATCTGGGCTTGAGGGGTGATTTGGAGGATGTGGGATTGTTTTGGAGATACAGGGCTCTTCTCAGGCCTTGGGTATCATTTGGGAGGGATGTGGGGTTGTTAGGGGATGCTGGGCAGGGGACAACTGCCAGAGGCAGAGCATGGAGAGAGGACTGATTTTTCCACTCCCCCTGCCGCACCCGCTTGCTCCTAGTCCTGCATGTCTGTCGTGGTGGAAGTCCCAGCCCTGCTCCCCCTACGTGGCAAATGGGTTCCCTGCCCCACAACCAGAGAGTGACACCTCTCTGGGCCCTCTCCTCAGGGCCACTAGGGGGAGAGATGTGGTGGGGATGCCCAGACAGCCTCATCTTCCCCAGTGTGACCAGTCCTTGCAGGAAGAGCCTGAATTCCCCAGGTTGTTGGGGGACAGAGCAGAACATTCTAGATGCCCAAGTTCCGCATGTGGAGACTCATGCCTGGAGTTCCTCATCCACTGTCTCCTGGATGCCTGCTTAAAACCCAGAAAGTCAGAAGGATCGTGAGGCCCTGCTTTCATGGACAATATTTGTACTGAAAATCAAGATTGAGCCTTGATCTTCTGCTCCACAGGAGGTTTCTGTCCTCCCTGAGCTCGCCTTAGGACACCTGTGTTATGGTTTGACAGGTGTACTGCCCCAGTCAAACTCCCCACCTGACACTGTCCCTGGAGCAGGTCATGCCAGGCACTTGGCATCAGAAGTGAGAGCCCTTTGGAGCTCACCCACCCACACACCTCACTGGGCAAGTGGAAAAAATTATCATTAGCATTTCACTGGCAACTGGACCATGGCCCGAGTTGCACAGCTGCAGGGCCTCCCATTTATTCTACACCTCTGATGTCTCTTCACAGCGCCAGACTAGAGTCATGCTCAACAGGGTCGTCTTTCCCTGCTGATTCTGCCAAGCCTGTTCTCTTGGCTGTGGTTTTGCTGGATAGTAAGTAGGGACAGTGGGAATCTCATTCATCCATTCATGCACATCACTAGGCATTTGGCTATTTATTGATCACACATAAATTACGCATTCCTTCTCCGGGCTAAGTAAGGTGACCTGTCCACCTAGGTAAAGCTGGTTGATTTTGTTGGCAGGTAAGATTGATGGTTGGCAGGTAAGGTTAAGTTGGCAGGTAAGGCAGCATGATTACCAAGTTCCCTACCTACTTATCCCTTCTACCTCCACTACTTCTGATGAGCATCCATTTCCCTAGATCACTACAACCCATAAATGTAATTTATTTACAGTCAAATGAGTTTGCACATAACTTGCAAAGATATGTACAAGATCTACAGATGTGCTACCTGCCCACCTTCCTTCCTTCCTTTTACATTCCTTCCTTCCTTTTACATTCCTTCCTTCCTTTTACATACATTCCCCTTCCTCTCTTCCTTATTTCTCTCCATCCTCACTGCACTTCCTTCCTTCTTCCTTTCTTTTTTCATTCTATCCTTCCTTCCTTTTTCTTTCTACTTTCCTTCCTACTTCCTCCTTTCTTTATTGCCCTCTGTCCTCACTTTACGTACTCACTTACTTATATACTTCAGTTCCCTTTTTCCTGCCCTCCTGCCTTCTTGACTTTGCTTTCCTCTGTTCCTCCTTGCCTACTTCCCCACCTTTCTGACTTTTCCTTAATTACCATCTTCTTTCTTCTCTCACTACTTTCCTCAATACCCCCTTCCTTACTTCCTTCGTTGAATCTTCTTCCCTTCCTCTCTGCCTTCTCGCCTGCCTGCCTGCCTGCTTTCCTTAATTCCTTCTCTCCTGCCTGCCTTCTTTCTTTTACCTTTTTTCCTTCCTTCCTTTCATTCCATCCATCTTCCCTTCGCCTTCCTCTTGTCTTCCCCTTGCCCTCACCTTCCTGCCTTCCTTCTTTCCTTCTCCCTTTCTCCCTTCCTTATTTCCCTGTCCTCAGTTTAATTCATTCCTTCCCCTCCCCTTGCCCCCTTTCCCTCCCTTCCCACAGTTTTCCCCTTCTCCCCGCCCTCCTGTCCCCCCGCTTCTTTCTCTTCTTCCCTCCTTTTCTTCACCTGGTGTGGGTCTGCAGCCTTGAGGGCTCATGTGTCCAGGTGCTGGCAGCTGGGGAAGACTTGACATCCAGGGGTCCACTGCAGACCTATGCCCATCTGCTGGGGGACTGGTGGCATATATATGTGTATATGTATTTCCCACTAACAATTCTTGATCCTGATCAGCCAATGACAGAAACAGAATGAGGCCATTGGTGCTGCTTTTTGTGAGTGGAGTGTTTCTGTCTGTTGATCTGCATGGCTGGCTGTGTATTATTTATACTTGTGTTTTATACTTGTCTGTGTGCCTACACAGAATACGTGCTTAGCCTCACTACTGGTTGGACTTGGGGCCATGGAGCTGCAGCAGCCTCATCTCTGTTGGGCTATCAGATTTGGCTTCACCTGACACACAGAAGGTGGAAGCATGGGCAGATTACTTGTGCAGTTTACAAAGACATTGCCCACACACGTAGGAAGGGAGTTATGAAAGTCAAAGTTCACTTTTCACTGGTAAGATTTGCCCTCAGGCCTCCCAGGTCCCCAAGTCCTGCAGAGTCTGTAGGAGTGAAGCAGCACCCACCTGCTAGCAGAGTCTGTAGGAGTGAAGCAGCACCCACAGTAGTGGAAGATAGAATTAGGGACCACACAAGTCCATTAGACATGCATAAGTCGATGGTACCAGATGGCATGCATCTGAGTACTGAAAGAGCTGGCAGATGCCATGAGGCCACTCTTCATCATTCTTAAAAGGTCATGGCAATCAGGGGTTGCTCCCAGTGACTGGAAAAAGGCAGACGGTATATCCATTGTCAAGAAGGACAATCCAGGAAACAAGCCCAGTCAGCCTCACCTCAGTCCTTGGGAAAGCTATGGAACCGCATATTGACTGCACCAAATCACCAACTCCTCTGACAACACTATAAAACTGATAGTTCATCAAGAAGGTATTGAGAATTAATTTAGAAAGTTGTGTATAGCTCCAGGAAAAAGGGAAGTGAAAGTTCCATCAATTTGGGACCCAAAAGCAGTCATGGTGATTCCAGAAGCAGTTTGTGGTGAGACCCTAGTCTTGGAATGGAAGATTTCCGCTCCAAATGTCACCTTTCTGAGACCTAGTGACTGGAGGAAGGAAGAATTTTTGCATTGGACTAGGTTGCTGTGTCAGGGCCATGAAATTGCCAGCTTTGAAAAGGACAAAATTAGTAACAACTGGAGTGAATGGTATGGGACATTCCCCACGAGCAGCTCATTAGTGCCTTATCATTAAAAGCAAATATCTACCCCATGAGGGAATTTCTAGCACAGGTTAGAAAGGAAATTCAAGTAAAGATCTACCAGTATTGTCAAGCTGAGAGTTACTCACATATTAGTCGGTATTGCCCTGCAGATCAGGAAGCCAGGATCAAAAGACATACTCAACAGTGTGTTCTACTGGCTGAAGAAACTCAAAAGAAGGATTGGCAAGACTTTAACAAGCCACTCCTAAGAGATCACCAAAATAGTCCTTCAGGAATCCCCGCACAGAGGACTGTGTTACATAATCCCAGGCACCGAAGCAACCAGCATCGTGTCCAACCGCATGTTGGTGGGGCTGGGGGGATGCCTGCCGAGCAGATCGTGCCTATATGTTGTGGTTTAACCTCAGTCGGCAACTGAGTTCCAAACAGCTGCTCGCTCACTCCTTCCCCCTGGCCTGGTGCGCTGGGGGAGAGAATTGGAAGACTAGAAGTGAGAAAAACTCGTGGGTTGAGATAAAAACAGTTAATAATTGAAATAAAATAATAACAACAACAATAATAATGTAATAATAATAATAATAATACACAAAGCAAGTGATGCACAGTGCAATTGCTCAG